TGCAAACTTTTAAACATGTGTTGGACCAAGGTACACTTAGTACATTCAGGAGTGAGCTCTTGAGTCTGTGTAGTGTGAAGTACAGTGTCTATGTGAGAGTTTCTCTTCTGGAAGAGTTGTCCTTGGTCAGCATAACCATTCAGAAAAGTCTCCCCATTTGCAAAATGCACTTAAAAATGAACAGATTATTAGCTAGCATGTTTGTAGAAATAGTTTAATGAAGATGTTCCTTGAAGAATTAATAAATATTAGGATCACAGTTCGGTGCCTGTGGAACACAAAGACATTAACGTGAACGAGCGACTGAAGGAAAGCGCGTGCTGAAGTACGCTGCTAGATTGGGGCCAAGATGCTTAGCACAGTGCTGGGCCCTTCACAGCAGCAAAGGACAAAAAATGGATTTCCCACATAAAAAGGACTTGTACCTTTTTTTGAGGTTGCATTTTTGATACTCTTAAGAAAAAGCACAGAGATTCCCCATCATGTATCTACCAGGCCACAGTGACTTGAGCTAGGTTGGATGCTCTGGTTAATTGGGAAACTGGTTCAGCTCTTCTGTGCTTTAAATTCCCAAAGGCAACGGAAAATGATCTGACGGTGTGTGACGCTGCTGGCATAGTATTTCACGATACTTATCTTACATGTTCAACCTCACACTTTGTGCCCAACTCCATGCAACAAAAAGCAAATTCACACTTGGTGTTTCAGACACGCATAGGGCTGTCTCCAATGCAGGGCTCCTTGAGTTGTGTGACCACGAAGTCACCATGCCGTCAGCAAAAACAGACACCTTGCCAAAAATCTGCCTGGGTGGCAGCTGGCAAAGTGTGCAGATGTGAGCCATTTCTGGCAAACTGCATCCCCGCAGCAGCCCCAGCTCAGGCGAGTGCCTCTGCCGTTGGCTGTGGTGCGCGCCCCTGGATGAGGCAGGTGGCTGGCGACTGAGGTGGCAGCTCACACCGCCGGCAGGTTTGTGTGTGTGGAGAACAGTTATGTGTCTCAGGCTGACAGTGCTGGGGAGGCAGACCCAGCCTCTGTCCCAGCATCTGCTATCTCCTGGTTTTCAGATGTAATCAAAACAAACTTTGGTGCCTAATGACTTCATCCTTTCTGTGTGCAAAACACCTGAAAAAGTCAAAAGTCCCTTAAAACATCATGTGGACGACTGGGCTTTAACCATGATGAAAGCTGGAATGTTTTGGGTTTTTTTTCCATTTAGCCAAGACAAAGTACTTCAGCAGTGACACTATTTAGCCACATTTCTAATTGGTTTCCTCTAATTATGTAGGCTTTTGACCTTCGAGGGCTTTCTTCCCATTGTTTTCAGTTGATAACATCCAAGAACATAAAGTAATATTTCAAGAGTCTGGCGATAGTAATGAAACAAGTATAAACAAACTTAACCCTTTATTTACCATAGCCTACCTTTATGAATTTCCTGTCATTCAGGGTGATTGCCTAAACAACACTTTGTCGGACATGACGTGAGCTCAAATGTGTGAGATCACTGGCAGGTCCAATTCAGATGTCAAAAAGATTGCAAGCAACAATGACATTTATGTCTATCTTTCAATTTACACAGTCCTCCCACCACAATGTAAATGTTTGCTTGTCTGAAGTTCCTCAACAGTTTGTAATCATAATTTAAAAAAAAAGGAATTAGCTCTTATATTCTTTGCTGAAACAAAAGACAATCAGTGTAACATGTTATTGTGGCTGAATTAGCAGGTCATATTTTTCCTTCCTTTTTAAAGAGTAGACTGTCAAAATCTGCATATCCTCAGTCTCATTCTCTGAGAAACAATGTCATCAAGAATAATGTTTCTCATTCTGATTTAATCTCCTCACTGGGGAGTAAATTCTAGCATACTGTCTGATTTAAAAATATTATTGCAGGATCTTAACTACGTTCCTTTAACTTAAG